GGTGGTGATGATGGCGGTGGTGGTGGTAGTGAAGGTGGTGGTGGTGATGACGATGATGATGGTGGTGGTGGTGGTGGTGGTCGTGGTGATAGTGAAGGTGGTGGTAGTGATGATGATGATGGTGGTGATGATGGCGGTGGTGGAGATGGTGACCATGGCGGTGGTGGTGGTGGTGGAGATGGTGATGATGATGGTGAGGGTGATGGTGGTGGTGATGGAGGTGGTAGCGGTGATGGTGGTGGTGATGGAGGTGACGGTGGTAGTAGTGGAAGAGGTGGTGATGGTGGAAAAGATGATGGTGCCGGTGGAAGAGGCAGTGGTGGTGGTGGTGGTGATGGCGGTAGTGGTGGAAGAGGTGGTGATGATGGAGAAGGTGATGGCGGTGGTGGAAGAGGCGGTGGTCATGGTGGTAATGATGGTAGAGGTGGTGGTGGTGATGGTGGTGGTGATGATAATGCTGATGGAGGAGGTGGTGACAGTGGTGGCGAGAGAGAGGTGGCGGAGAGCGGAGGTAGTGGTAGCAGACGGTACTGGTGGTGTTTAGCAGCCAACACACCTAGTGCTTACCAAGTGGCGGGATCCTTCTTATCTCTACGTTTATTAACTTACATATTTTCATAGTAACCCACTGAAGTAAATGTACTACTGTTATCTTTATTCTAAATATGAGGAAACTGAGGCACAAATGGAGTAACTTTCCCAAATCACCAAGTGATGGCCAGAGAGGCCCGAAGAGATTATTTTGCCCAACAGGTCAGGTCTCCGATTCTAGAACTTGAGCTTCTCCCACTAGCTGACCGTGTCTCTTTATGTAAGTCACGGGACTCAGGCAGGGTAGATACTATTATACCCATTTTACAACATTTTATAGAGTGCTTGTCAGTTTCAAGAAGCCCAGTTTTCCACCTGTACCTGGGCAAGGCTATTCTCAAATCCCTTTACAGGCCCACAAAGGTCTATAGACCTTATCGCAGGCTGACTCACAGCTCGTCTGGAGCACAGACGGCACACCCCAGAGCCACACTGCCTCCCAGGGAGAATCCCTGTAGCTTACGGGCCATGAGGCCTTGGCTGGGGGAGTTAGCGTCTTTAGGCCTCGGCTTCCCTCTCTGCAGATGGGCTAAGAACTGAGCCTAACTGCACAGGGCGGCTGGGAGAGTTCGCATCTGCTCACTGTGCACTGCTCTACAAATCAGTGCCGACAGCACTCATTCTTATTGCCTGACTTTTCACCAGACTGTGAGGGCATCAAACATTTCTTTGCTTCCCTGGCCTCCCCATGCCTCTCGCACCTCCCGAAACACTCTAGGTACCACTCAACGTGCTTCAAGTTAAGCTGAATTCGCCCCAGTCGCTAGCCGTCAGAGAGGCCCTTCCTTTAAAAAAAAAAAAAAAAAATTAGGAGAGGGACTATGTGGCCCAATTTATAAGCTGAGGATCTCTTTCACTGCATCGCAGCCCAGAACAACTTTTCCTGCCTCACCAGAAAGGCAAACACGCTTAAGGTACAAAGAGATGGGAATTATCTGCAAAGTCACAACATAAGCCAGATGCTGTTTGAATTTTTGTCCAAAATACACACGCTGAAAACAGCTGGCCTCGTGGAAGCACTGGCTGGCCGGGGACCAGCTTGGCACCTTGCTGCCTGGGGTGGGGAGCACCACAGGGGGAGACACGTACAAGGACTCAAGTCCCAGAGCCCCGGCTTCCTCGCCAGGTGACCTTGATCAAGTCAATTAGCTTCTCCTAGCCTCGGCTTCCTGATCTATAAAATTAGGGTAATAATTGCTGTCTATTTCTGTTGCAGTGGCAATGAAATTATCACACATAAGGCTTCTGCCTCACATGTGGTCACTTGACAGGCACTTAAAAAACTGTCAGTTTCCTTTCCCCGATGCTCCTCCTCCCCACTGGGGCTAATCACCTCTCAAAAAATGAATGAGGAAATGATAAAGCTGGTGGGAAAGAGGCGGCGAGGTGGCGGTGAAGGGCACGGAGCCACAGCTGGGACAGTAATTATACCCCCTTCACACAGGTGCTGTGCACAGGTGAGATGTATGTGAAATGCTTTGCGGGTGCCTGCATACAGTAAGCTGTCGACAAGTGGTGGCCGTTCTCCTCTCCCAGCTGTGAAATGACATGGCAAAATGCGATGCTGGTGGCTAAACCGGGGCCGAATGAGGAGGCAGTCTACATGAAAGCCACCACATGCCAGTTGGCTGGGGACTGTCCTGGTTTTAGCACTGGAAGTCCTTCGTCCCAGGCAAACCAGGGGGTAGGTCATCCGAGGCCCGTAGTGCTGCACCAGGCATCCCACACCCCTGAGTGGCCTCTCTCGGCCCACGACCCCCATCTCTTGCCACTCTTCCTCCCCAGGGGCCCCCAGCCTTGGGGTTCGCTGAACCCTAGGAGCATACTGACTGTAGGATATTGGCCTTTGCTGCTCTGTTTATCTGGAACCTTCGTTGTCACAGCCCCATAAGCTGACCCCCGCCTGTGCTTCCTGTCTTACGAAGCCCCCAGCAAAGTGACCACATTTGGAAGTTGTTTGCAGATGTACTCAAGTTAAGAGGAGGTCATACCGGATAAGGGTGGGTCCTAAATTCAATGACTGGCATCCTTATAAGAGGTCATGTGAAGATACTGAGAAGGAGGCTATGTGAAGATGGGGACAGGGACAAGAGAGACGCCAGTCAGGGAAGGCCAAGGGGTGGAGAGCACAGAACAGATTCACCCTCAGAGCCTCGAGAAGGAACAAAGCCTGCCCGCACCTTGATGTTGGGCTTCTGGCCTCTGAACTCTGATAGCATGATCTCTATTGTTTGAGGCCCGCCCCCGGGAGACTAGCACACCTCCTCACTGAGGCCTTCCCTGGCCACCTGCTGGAACTGGCCCCTTCCCCAGCTCTTTGTCTCTGCATCCAGTCCTGGCTCCCCCGAGGGCTTAGTGCTTTCTGCATGTTTCCTGTTTGGTATTTACTCGACCGTCTGTTTCCTCACCCGCAGCCACAGTGAAGCTCCCTGAGAGCACGGCACCTGCAGCGCCAGCCCTGGGACAGACAGGGGCTTGATTAACGTGTATTTATGGGGGCCTGGGTGGCTCAGTGGGTTAAGGTCAGACTCTTGATTTTGGCTCAGGTCACGATCTTGCGGTATGTAGATTCAAACCCCGCGTCGGGCTCTGCGCTGATGGTGCAGAGCCTGCTTGGGATTCTCTCTCTGTCTCTGCCTCTCTCTCTGCCTCTCTCTGTCTCTCTCTCTCTCTCAAAATAAATAAATAAAAAAGAAACAAACCACGTACTGAATGGGTTCCCGCCCACTACTGCTCTACTGTTATTTGTTTAATCCCGGCTCAGAAAGGCCGGGGTCAGCAAATACCAGCGATCTGGAGTCGCGGACCCTGGCAGGCTGGTCCCTGGTTACAACTGTGGTCTATGGGAGCAGGCCCCCCGGTGGGCAGTCAGACAGCGAGCAGAGACTCTGAGAAGTGAGCAGAGGGCAGCCTGCCTCGTATCTAAAACATCACAGCAGTCCCAATGTACCGAGCCTGCTACACCTTCCAGAAGGCCTTCCCCTTCCTCAGGGTGCACGGTCTGATGGTGTGCAAGGAGCAGTCAGGGCACACGCCCTCACACAGGCGAGCTTAGCTCTCTGATTCCTCTCAGAGTCCAATTGGATTGTCAGCTCTTAGCCCTCA